GGGGCCTTACTGAGGTCATTAACTGGCATTGTCTCCTGATGTGATTAGTCAGGTAGCAAAGTCCATTTGTCACCTGCACAGGCAAATTGAGTTGGTGCTGCACTAGGGGCTATGGGGACTGTATAATATCAACTTGATTACATCAAGGCAGCTGTGGACTTGACACCTTACTGAATTTGTCAGCATTAATCGTTAGGGCCTGTCACAAATCCATCAGCTCCACAGATAATTAGGGCTCTCTCTAATGAAGCCAACGGGATGCAACCTTACCCCCACCACCACCACCCCTTCCCCACTCTATACACACACACACCGTTTCTCTTATAATTAACCATCATGCAACGGAACAAGGGCGACTATCTCGTCGTCTCTTTTAACTCGTCTTCCTCATGTAAGACTATGCAAGCCTGCCTACCATGAAAGGCGGCGTCACTGCTTTCTGTCCTTTACTTTTTTTGGTTTTTCCTCCTGGCCTCTTTACCTTTAAATCAAGGCATCGACTGTACGAGGTGCACGTAGTAATGCACAACATCCATCTTTGCACAAACAAGAACACCAGGGTGTGTGTGTATATATATATTTTCACAAACTTGCTGATTCAGGTTTGCAAAGTTTCTTCACATCTTGGTTTCCATGTTCTGGAATTCCTGCGTGTGAATTTCCTGATGAAAATTATAAAGCAACAGGAAGCGTGACAACGAGTGCTGCGTATTCATTCCATCGGTGGAATATGTCATTAATGGGGTTTTTTGTCATCTAAACAGCAGTGTCACACACACACACACACACACACACACACACACATGCAGATACTTCAAAATGATCCTAAGAAATCCTGTGATAATTTTCTTAAAAGCAAAACAAAACACAAAAATTATTGTTTAAAAAAAATTGCGGAAATTGTAAAATTTACTGCAAAATAAAGCAATCGATTAATAACCTGATCAAAGAAAAGTTTTAACATGGGAAGCTCAAGCAACCCGAAAATTCTTTGCCAAGAAGCTGCCTAAGAAGTGCACTGTGTATGAAAATTAACAGGGAAATGTGCACATCTGATTATGTAACTCAAAGAAACGAAACTGTTAAGAAAATCTTTTGCTGTTTCTGACTTGCAAAATATAACTTTGCATGGTGCGGCCTCGAAACATAACGCACCTAATAAAAGTCTCCACAAGCTTTACAAAGGGAGAATGAAAAAAATAGGCCGTCCACACAAGTCTGCTATTGTTGTTTTAATTGTCTGACTCCTGATTTCCATGCCTAGTCCCACTATGAGCTATTTCCTCTTTGAGCAGTAGCACACAGAGGAAGCCACAGGTCAGTACGAGCTCCCAGTGGAGCATCGGGCTAGCCTGGTGTGTAAGTCGGTGTTTGCATGCGTATCAGCGTGATTGCGTGTTAGTCAGTCGCTTCTGGAAGCGTGGAGTGGAGGGCGTTATCTCTGACCGGCCATCGTGTTCGTGAAAGAATGGAAAACATCCCGTTTGCCAAGCTGTGATTGACCATTACAACCCATGATGTGCATGGCACTCAGTGGACGTTGTAATGGATCAATGGTTTGTGTGTATGTGTGTGTGGTGTGAGTGTGGCAGGAGAAAGGAGGGGAAGGGAGGGGTCACAGAGATGTCATGTTTTTCATGCCTCCATCTACATGCAGAAACCTAACGGGAGTCCCTCTGCTCCCATCATGGCCAACCTTTTCCAGGGGGATATTTTGCCAAAGCAACAGCGGTGACTGTTCTCTCCGTCTCACACACACAAATGCAGAAAGGTACAGCGAGACTCGGTATATAAAACTCGATTCTTGCTTCGCGGTGTGGGCCAGAAAACATATTACAGGTTGCCACAAAGGCAAACGAGAAAAGCCGAAGTTAACAGCGAGCACCGGTTGAATGTTCATCCGTCCTACACTCCTTCTCATCCTCCTCCTCATCCTCATCATCACCACCACCATCATCTTCATCATCGCAAGCTCTCTGTTTAAAATGATAAAACCTGCTGAGTTCAAAGTCTTCGTCGGCTGGCCCTCCTGTTCGACCCGCTTTGCACCTCATATTTCAAAATCTCTTTAAAATTCTGTAACTGTCTTTTGTTCACTCCAGTTGTTAATGCCTAACTTCAAAGGCTCGGCCTCATTAGCACAGAGGTAGAAACCCCTGTCACTCATTTACATTTGTTTAAAGGCTGCAGGGAGACAAGAGGAAAAAGGGGGAGTCCACATCCAAACCACTAGAAGTCAACCTTGTCGGTCCTCTGCCAACACCTGGTTTTATCAGTTGGTCACATTATAAAAATCATATCCAGCAGTGGACCTCAACTGTGGGCTGATTCTTGCAGCGAATAAGGGAGGAATATTTCGGACGAGGACAGCCAGAACCTTCCATATTTTCATCTAAGAATATATAGGAAGAGGAGGAGAATTCAAATACCTGTTCTTTTTAAAGAGTGTTGGGGAATTTCTTGCAATTGAACATACACACGGTGCTTTCATCTGCTTTCTGTGCATACACATTTGAAGAAATAAGGTGATTTTTTTCAACCACAATTCCCAACTTTCTTCTTTATCCGTTTTTCTTTTTCTTCCTTTTTGTCTTTGCTTTTCAGTTCCTGGTTAAAAGCAGGGTTGTGCATTTGAGTGGCTACCAGAAGCATGCTTGTCTTCATGGAGGGATTTATTGATGTTTATCAGGGATGAATAGATCAAAGACTGCCACATGACAGACGATCAATCACGCATCAAATCAAGGGTGGCAATCCTCTAATAAAATAAAAAAGAAAGGAAAAACCAGCTCTCGCCCGTTTTTCTCCCCCCTTTCTTTCCCAGTCAATTATTCATCATTACTCACTCTTGAACCTCAAAAACTCCCTTTTATCCCCATAACATGCCATTTAGTTTATCTCACCATTCTTAATAGAACTTTCCTGGCACCGGAGGATTTAAAAAAAAATCTCAAAGTGGCATTGCGCAGATACGTGCGTCATTTGCGCAATTAGATACATTTTAAACACAACAGTGTGTCCAGGGGTGAGTTGTGCGCTGCGTTATTAACACAAATAAATTGATTTAAACCATAAGTTGTAAAATAATAATAATAACAATAGTAATAAATCGCAGCATGCAGTCCTGCTAAAGAAAAAAAAGGTGGAAGGAGAGACTTCCAATTGGCACTTGGAAATAAAAACTAGTTGGTTACTGGGATGGGAAATGGTCGTAATGGAGGGGCGGGTTATACCTGCTGATCGCCGCGGCTCTTGCTGCTTTCTCCTCGGCATAGTGACCGTCGCGTTCCACGGTGCTTCTCATGCAGGAATTACAAACAAATGGAGTCTTATCAGTTTTGAAAAATCATCCCGTTTTTCGGGGGAGGGGTGTTGTTGATCTCTGAGCTGAGAATGTCTCTTCAAACCGGCTGCTCTTTTTTGGATGTGATAGCTGGGTCGGCTTCAGCGAGACTGAGCTCAAAAATTACGAAGGGATTCGGCCAGCTCCTGACACCTTCACGTCCATTAAAAATCATCTTCCTTCATCTCTCTCGTGGCAGAGTACGAAAAGAAGCAAAAAAAACCAGCACCTTGAAACCCAAGTTTTCGGTTCACTCCCTTTGGGGGAAAAACAAAAAAAATCCCCCTAATCTCCAGTGCTGTTTGGAGGGGGACGATAGTTTGCTGCGCCTTTTACGCACACCAAAACTAAAAAGAAAAAAGAAAAGAAAGAGATTTCTGGCGGTAACCAAACAAATAAGTCCCGAGTGCACACCTCTGATAAGTAATGTATCCTTGTGTTTCCTTCCGTTCTTTTGCCACAGACCTGAAAGAGAGAGAATGGGAAAGGAGAAGAGAGATAGACAGGCATTAGATGGGTTAATGTCAATCCCGTCACCACCACGCCACCTCAGCCCGGATCCAGCCTCACCAGTCCGGCGGAGACTTTTTTCCTCCCTCCCCTTCTGCCCTCTTTCTCTCTCACAGAAGGGGAAAAATAATTAAATAAAATAAATGGAGACGAGTAGGCTTTCTCTTGTACTTACGTTTTAAGAGTCGTGAAAATGATTTTCACCGCTCATCTGATCGCATGTTGGACAGAGTCGCTTTTTTTTTTGGTTTTTTTTTTGGAGGGTTGGTTGATGCGGTGGAGAGGATATCACTTGAGAGAGAGGGGAAACAAGACGCAGGCGCATCCAAGCTTCGCCAACAACAGATCAGATCGACATGGACTAAAATATTTGTCTCTTGAAAAAGCCAAAAAAAAAACAAGACGGGGGGCAAAAACTCCAGGGACTGATCCGCGGTCTCTCAAAAAAAAGAAAAAAATGGGAACGCGGCGGATCCAGAAGCTGTTTCAGACAGTCTCAACTGATAGACAGACGCATCGAGTGGCTTTTCCTGCTACATTTTTACTCCTCCCCTCTCCACAAGCGTCACCCCTGACAGAGGAGCCTACCTGTCAATCTTTTTAATTGTCTTGTTTTCCCCCTCTCTCTCTCTCTCTCTCTCCTTCTCCCTTTGCTTAAAAAAGAAGCCAAACCTCCGACAAAAGGATATGATCCTCTCAAAACTTACTGCGAGATCAGCTAACAAAACCAAACTTATCCCAACGCCTCTTGCAAACTACCAAAAACAACAAGGCTCACTACTTAAGTCTGAGCTTTTTGCAACCCAGGTGACATCTTAAGATCGCCTGGTAGTGACACGGCACGAGTTAGGGCACGACTCTTGCTCCCGCTGACGCTTTAATGTCCCCCAGTGCGCTCCGGCAGCTCTGTTAAGAATAGATCCTTCCAGAAAAATGACAGTCAGATGACAACAGACGATAACACAGCTGCATGGAAGGAGCAGGCAAAATAAATAAAGAAACAAATAATGGAATGAGATGAAAACAAGACACTTTCACAAATCGCCTGTGGGAGCTTTTTGGTTACAGGTGTAGTGTGGGCAGAAACATCTCCCTATGACGCTCACAACATTTAGTATTAGGAAGAAAAGGGGGAAAAGGCGCCAGTCAAACGGGAGCGCAGTCGTAGTGCACGCTCGGACCGTGATTTTTGTTGTTATTTGTAGGTGTTGGGAAAAGATCCGATGGGTTGGCGTTCTTTTCGTGGGAGTGAAACGGCTGAGGATAGCCTGTGTGGGGAGACGAGGATTGATTTGTTTCACCTTAGTAGGAAGTGAGTGTTGTGTCCGGGAAGGGGAGGGACTCCCGACGACAAGTCTGAGGCGCTGCTGTGCTCCACGCTGGGGCTGCACCAGTGCAATGTTTTAATCCTAAACTCGATCCCCCGCTTGTTTGCTTTGCGTAAGAGTCACGCTACGACGCATCGCGCTTTTTTTCTCCCCCTCTGTTTTTTTGTTTTTTTTTTTATTTTTGGTCTAAAAGCTCGTTTGGCTCGGCTCAGCCTGGCCCGGGCCTGGCCTGCACGCCGTGCGTGTGCAGAGGGGAGGCTTGTGGTGCAGGCTAATGGCACCTGATCGACCTAATCACAGGCACGAGCACGCGTCAAGTTTGGTCGTGAACTTTGTCACATTTCGGAATCATGTCCAGGGCGCTGTTGGCGAGAAACGGCAGGAGAGCACTACCGCTAATCTACGGGGGGCGCAGAGGCACCGACACACTTTCAGGAGTTCATCTGGCTGCGAGGCGGTTCATCGTAGATATGTCCTACTCGGCGCACTTCATGGATTTTAAAGGATCCTCCATAGCGAGCAGTATGAAAAAGCTGGTAGTCACCAAGCTCAGCCCGAATTTCAGAGAGGCCGTTTCTACGCAAACCGTGGCCGTTCCGACACCCGGAGACGCGGACTTGCTGGTCAGAAATCGGTAAGTTAATTTTGGTGACGGTGGGAACACACGGACTCTGTTTTTCTGTCGGTCGGGAAAGCGTTAGGTGACCCGAAGCGTCTTCTTTCTTTTCTTTCTTTTTCTTTTTTTAAAATGCCGATCTGTCAGGAGATTGTTGAGAAGTTATTAAACGGCTCCGCTTACCTCGAATCACCCATGTCCAGCACCTGCGATCACCCTCATCATTATCATCATCATCATCGCCACAAGATGGAAAAATACGTGAGGAATAAGCGCTGTACTGTAATTCCAAGTTCCGCCCTCTCTGCATTTGTCTATCAATCCATCTCGGCATCTCTCTCTCTCTTCTATCGCTCTCTCTCCCCTGCTCTCTCTCTCTCTCTCTCTCTCTCTCTGTCCTGTCTCTCTACGTCACCAACCTGCAAACAGAAAGTCATGGGGGGGCTCAGGCTGGCATCAAGAGATGGAGATGATGGAGAAGGCGATGGGAGTGCTACACGGCGCTGGAATTGCAGCATCATTTCTTTCATTCACAGCAGCAGAAGGCAGAGTGGATCCAGGAGTCTGTTGTACGGGCTCTGTTGTGCTTGAACAGAGTCGACATTATTACAGTAACAGATAAATGAAATTAAAGCCAAAAAACATACATTAATGCTTTTGTTTTTTAATAGTTGGATTTCTGCATAAATTTCTGATTCCACCTCACTCTGCTTTCAGGTTCCTACAACATTGCTGGCTGTGTGCGCCTTATGTGGTTTTTAATGTTAAGTCAGCTTTACATCAGTCCACCTCGGAGTTT